CCAGTTAAGATTACTACTGTTTATTATGTTTATTTTTATAAAAATAGTCTTGAATTACCATGCATAAAAGCGAAGGTCTGGGGGGACATTTACTCAAATAGTTTGTAAATTTTACTACATAAATTGGCTTTTCACTCAAAATTTTTCAAGAATCTTATATTAGAGAAAATGTTTCATTCAGAATGAGTTCTTTGTTACTATATTGGTTACAAATCCCATCACTTCACGGAACTACAATTTTGGCCTAACTTAATTTGCCAGTTTGGCATAATCATTCTTACTTGAGTAAAAGAGGAAACACCTTCGCATTTATTAATTATTGTTTATTGAACGGGAGTTGGTTCTTTCCCCTTGAAAAGTCAACTAATTTCTGATCAATAGCGATAATTATTTGTTTTGTTTTTTTTAATTTTTAATTTCTTTTTCAAAGTTTGAAATTTTGTTATTCATGATTTAAATTCAAGTCCGCTTAAAAAGTTTTTTTTCATGGTTTACATTCAAGTTCCTTTAAAAAACAATTTTCTTAATTAATCTTCCTACTTATGGGTTCTTTTATTTTGATACATTCTACTAAATTTATATTAGAAGATAATATAATCAATATTTCTTTAGTAAATAACTACAATGTAAAATAAACGTAATAATATTTATACAGATAATAAGTAACTTTTTGCAATTGCACTGAATGATGACTCAAGTCATTATACTTTTCATTAGTAAAAACTACCTAATTGTGCCACAAAGACTGTGTTAATACCAAATATACTATACAGTACAAAGACCGTAATTCGGACTCGTCAGGACTTCGGTGATTCCGGATTAGGGTTTGTTTCCGGATTATAGAACATCAGTTTAAATCTGGTAAGATGGCATGCAGAAATTATACTATTAAAAATATGAAACCGTAATTTATGACATAAAAAACAATTATGATCTAAAGGGGTATCAAAATTTATATAAAAAAAGCTTAATATTCATTTTTTTACTTCATTAAACATTTCTTTCAACGTGCGCATGTGCACGTAATGTATGCACATTCTTTACGTGCATGCTTAATGTATGCGCATTCTAAACGCGCATGCATAAAAATTGTGGCTTTGAGGTTCGGATTATAGATTATTCCTGATAATGGACTTCCGGATTACGGACTTTGTACTGTATAAGGACAAATCATATATGACTGAACTGAGAAACCTTGTTGATGACTGTTGAGGTACCAGCTGTAGAAACAAATATTGCCTTCCACTCCAAAATGACAAATTCCTGTTCTTTTCTGAGCCCGAGCTTTAAGCATTTCACTGACAATTAAAGCTCAAGCTTTGCGGGACATGCACTTATGACTGAAGGGAAAATCATAAAACTGTTTTTTACCAGCAACATACCTCTAAAACTGTCACTTAACTTTCTGAAAAAATAATCTTTCAACAAGATCAAGTTCTACCTCTTTGCCAATAATTCTTAGTCATTCTTATATCAACACTTCACAGTAGAAAGAACTGTTCACTACACAGCCTTCCCAAATGATCAAATCCGAAAGAACTGCATAATTTTAGAATCCTTGAACTACAAAATTTATGCTGCAAATGACTCCAACAATGAAACTTTGCAACTGAATAAGAAATTATGTCTGTCTATAGAATTAAAGAGAAAGTATTAGCACAAAAAAACGAAGGAACTTTAACAACTTAAAAGAAATGTTTAATAAAGTAAAAAAATAAATATTACGTTTTTTTTTTTTTTTTTTTTTTTTTTTTTTTTTTTTTTGTAAATTTTGATACCTCTCAGAACATAAATGCTTCATTATTCCATAAATCACGATTTCATATTTTTAATTTGATTATTTCTACATGCCATCTTACTAGATTTTAAACTGATTATCTAATATCTGGAAAAATCCTAAATCCGGAATCGTAGAAGTCCCAATGAACCCAGATCTGGGACTTTGTACTGTATTGAATTTTATTTACTTTTTAACTACATTTGTTAAAAAAAAACCCTATTAAAATCATAATCTAATAAAATTTCACAGTTTAAAATACATGCAATTTATGATACTGATTCTTAAACAATATTAGGTCAATAACGCATTAAAAACTACAAAACATTTATGTTTTGTAACAATAACACCCAACAAAATATTTATGCATCTTTTTAATTTAAAACCTTCCCAGACATTTTGGCTAATTGATATCGATTTCCTTCTGTTTAGGAATCTTTCTTGTCATTTTTTAAATTACCAATTTTAAATTTACAATGTTACAGTGTTTAAAAAAAAATCACCAAAAAATTCCCAGATCTCCGAATTAAAAATTTTCAATAGAAACTGATCTTAAAATTGCCAAGATGTTGATAAGTTACCAAATTTAGAATCATTTAATAAAAGAATTCAAATCCCCAAAAGCAAAAAGTTGTTTAAGAGCTCTTTATTAGAAAAAATTAAATACTTTCGAAATGCACACGTTTCACTTCTTGCTCAGAGAAACTCGAGTATCCCACCATTTACTCGTATATTAGAAATAGAAGCAAATTACAATTCATGAACCCATTCAACAGATAACCATATTTGTCAGTGAATCGCCAAAAATATTCTTCCAAAATGCTAACTCACACTCAAAATGGCAGTTGTAAAAACAGACAGAAATTTCATATGATTAAAATTACAGACCTTCTGCCAATTTTGGCCAAAATTAAGGACTTTTAAGACTCTTAAGGACCATACGAACCCTGCAGGTGTTTGGGGAAGGTTTTCTTGCTGCATGATGACAGCATTTTAAAAGAACTCTGAATTACTTAAATTCAGGTTATTGAACTACTTATCATATGAATTCTGGTAAAATAATATAAAGTAATAAATATAATTACGAAAATCAAATCAATAATAATTTAGTAGAAATATTGAACCATCTCAGGAAGATGTGCAAATTTTATAATGAAATCTATTACATTTTAAAATTATGAATCAAAATTAAAGACCATTCTTTACTTCAAGATGCTCAAACTGTATAATGAAACCTATTGCATTTTAAAAATATGAACCAAAATTAAATACCATCCTTTACTATTTTTGAATTTTTTTTTTAAAATTTATTTAAAGTGCATATACCAATCATATTAAAATTCATAATACATGATACATTATTCATATTTCCATGTTCCAGATATTTATTACTGAAATTTGAATTTATTTAATTGGATATTCTAAATTTTATGAGACACTTCCTTATTATTATAGTCTTCATTTTTTAAAGAACTCAGATGGTGCCAGAATTATCGCCAAATTCAAGTTTACTTTTTCTTCAATGGCTCAACAACCATGAGTGGGCCCTGGCCTTCTCCAGGCATCTCTACTTTTGGCTACTGTATTCCAGCTTTTAACCTTTAAAACATTACGATACTTTTCGACATAATCAATTCATTTTAGCGAGGATCTGCCCTTAGGTCTGTTTCCCATGGGCTTTTTTTTTTTTTTTTTTTTTTTTTTTTTTTTTTGAAAGAAATATTTTGCAGCAACGATCTTCATTCAATCTAGCCAGATGGCCAGCCCATTTAAGTCTCTGTATTTGTCAGTGAACGTAATTTGATGAATTTTACAATATCAGGTTGTTTGTAAATTTTATACAGTTCTAAATAAGATCTTCTTCTCTGTGATCCATTCACTTGGAACCCATCATGAATGCAACATAAGATCTTTCACTCAAATGTCCCAGAGCTTCTTCATTACGTAAAGTCAATGCAGAAGTTAAGACAGATCTTGTAAGACTTTTGTAAAAGAGCAATTTAATTCTGAATTTAAGAATGCTGGATTTAAATAACTCTTCACGGCATAAAAACATGTTTACTTCTCACATACATTTTATATTTCCCCATGTTTCTGCAGTTGCTTTCAATGTGGTATCAAAAGCATTTTCTCGTACTAAGGACTTTAGCCACATGAACTCCACATGATAAGACTCATGATGATGGTGAATTGTGCCTCAGTGGTGTGTTTTATTCTGCCACTTAGCAGAGCGTCGGTCTTTCAATATTTTGTGTATGAGAAACTGTTGTCTGATCAATTACAATAAATTTTATAGTTCTCAATAAAATAGCTCTAACCTGTTTTCTCAGTTCTGCTGATTCATATGCTTTTCAATAATATAAATAAATTCTTGGGCTCTCTTTTACAAAGCTGAATTTTTTTGCCATTAGTGTGATTGCCTCTCTGTATACAGCCTGACGAAGACAGAATGCACCAATTTCTCTGTATTTGACCTTAGTGTTCGCATATAGTTAACATTTACATAAAACAAACATTATGGAACATGGTTTATTCAGAGCTCTTCTCATCATGTGCACACTATGGTAAATTTGATAATGGTTTGTGTTCACGATTTACCTATAATCTTGGCACAGTTTACAAAATAAAGGCATTATAAATAAGGAAGTACTTTTTACATTTAGCTAGTTTTATTTTGTAATTTTCTCACATTTTTACACTGAGAAAATCACGAGTAGAGAAAGAAAGCTCCTATTAATAAAAGTACTTTTAAATACTATGAAAATAAAATAAAAAATTATTGCATGGATAAACCTGATAAAGTATCCTAAACTGATATAGAACAAAAACTAGTACTGAAATGTATTATTCTTGCTTTGAAGAGGTGTCATCTGGGAAGCAATATTCTGACAGTATACTAATAAAAGCATCTTCCCTGAGAAAAAACGCTTCGCAAACTTTTCCTCAAACTGACTTTTTAAAAAATCAAGTACAATCATTTTAAATTTATTGATCAGTCATGATATCCAACAAGTGATTAAAAAATATGAAGCTTTAACTATACTCTTTGTTATTACAACATTACTTTTTATTTCATGTTAGCGTTTCGAGAGGCACATGCAATGAGAGAAATGAAATGAAAAAAAAAAAAAAAAAAAAAAAAAAAAGGGCGAATTTACTGTCACACTTCCTACTACGTACATAAATGGAATAAAATAAATACGGTATATTGAGACAAATTTACCCTCAAAACATTAAAGTTTTCAATATTTGGTTCACAAAACTTGCATTTTATTATAGCAGACATAGCTAACAAAATTTAAAATGCTGCTAGCTCTTCATTGGAATGTAAACATCAATTGTTTCATTTTTCCGGTAGCGACACCACATTTTATATATTTAACAAAAATATCAGGAACTATGTGGCATATAAAAACACATTTCATTCCTAAACTTTTGGAATTTAAACATTAAATCGCGCGACTCATCACACATTGTAAACAAGCAGCCATGCTTCCTTATACCCTGAGTTGAGCTGGTTAACCTCTGCTATTTAACCAATAAATTTTTCTCTAATTGCTAAAAGTTAGAGAAATGCTCAAAATTCGGAAGTAGTTTCGAAATCTATTTTTACACTCATCGCAATCGTAATTTGCATTACATTTTTATCACATTGTATCGTTTTAATACATTCTTCACTAAAGTTGTTTATTTTTAGAAATTTTGTGAATGCAATGATTTTGTGGCGTGAAAATGTACTACGGTAAAGTGCAGTGTAAAATTGGCTTTACGTGAATGACTGTTACCTGAAGATGCTACTTTATGATATTATGCTTTGGTGAGTAATTTGTAGAAAACATTTAAAGTAATAAACGTGTGTAAAAGATTAATATCACTTGCATGTTGATAAGTGAATATGTCATCAACCGGTTTGTCATCTTCAGATTTTTTTGTTGAGTAAATATTCCTTAGATTACGTTCTTGCTCATACTTAAATGTTATTTAGGTAACATATTTTGTACATTGTTTATACGAATACTTTAGCGTATTGTACAGTTACTTATTAAAATGGGTGCTACTTTGGCTCGCAATCAGAAGTTTCAAGAACAATAAACATTTGAGCAAAAAATATAATTTATAAAGTTAATTGTAAATTAAGGTGACAAATAACATTATTTTATTTATTTTTAATAAAAGTTTAAATTTTCACTGCATTTTTGGAGCTGTTTCTGTTGTTAATTTTGTGAATTGTTTGGAAATTTCTAACGTATCTTCAAGTTAGCATTATATTTTACATTGTTATGATGAATAAGGTATCTTATGGTTTTTAACTTTCTAATTTGAAATGGAAAAATTAATAGTACCATTGATAAGCACTAAAAATTATTTCCGGGGATTATAAATTATTGATATCACTTCATAACAATATAATTTATTGTAGGGAGCCGTTTGAATTTCTGAATACGTTTAACATTTAATTAATTATAATTAACTAGGTAAAGTAATTAGGAAAGCAAAAAAAAAAAAAAAAACTTTTGTATTAAACATAAATTATACAAGACTTTTCAGGAAGAGCTAATGGAGCAACTTAGTTAAGTCCTAGAGGGTTGAGACTTCACCTGTGGGGGTTGTTCTTGGTATCCTCAAAGGCTTTATCTAGGGCAAAAATTTTATTAAAATTGTTTTGATACAGGCTTACCCACCCACTTAATGCCATATCTACCTGGGCAGCCGCAAGAGTGCAGGTATATGGTTAGTGTGGTGGAAAACTGCTCATGTCTTAAAAAATTATAGCATTAACACTTCTAACATAAATATAGCACATTTATATGTAATCAACTTCCCATAGTACAAAGTCTCTTTTTTGTAATCCTACCTGTGCATACATATACTTAAAAATTTAAGGCTCTTCGGAATCACTTCTGATCACAGGCCTAGGGTGGTCAGACACCTCAATACATATGTTACTGCTCTTATGCTATATTTAGATAGCATTGATAAACTTGATAGGATAGAGTCAATACAAATTTTTTCTAGTTGCTAACTCGTGGAACAGTTTTTGTTCTCTTCATTTCTCTTATTAAAAGATGTTTCATCAAGTTGGGAGGGAGAGAACTTGAAGATATCTCAGATCCTTTAATTTGTTTAATGTGTCTTTGGTATTTTTCAAGTTATCTGCAAAACAAGATAGGCTATGATTTGTACAAATATTGTAAAAATCTTATGCATTCGTGCGGTTTTAATTATTTTCCTATGTTTTATATTAATTTCAATTGCGAACTATCTCAATTACTACAAGTGTAGGAATTTCTTCTGTTACAAACATGGAGGTAGGAAGTAAGATGGAGTCGTCCTAAACAAGTTTCTCCTGTACCCTGCTCTGAAGCACCGGCGATACCTACGTGGTGACCAAAACATTGGGTCATTTACCATTGAGTTCTATGGGATTTGACGCGTTCGGATGTAAATATTTTGTAATTACGTCATAAATATACATATAAATGTATATATTTTCTTTTTCTACAACACTTCAGAGTCCTAAGTATATGAAAACAACATATTTTTAAGCATTTCATTCTGAACGGAATTAAATGCTATACTTTTCACAGGACAGTTTTCTCAAATTGGTTTAATTTGAATGAAATATTTTCACCAGTTTTCGTTAATTACATTAGAAAAAAAAATTTAAGTAATTCGATTTTATTCGGTTAAGGTACAAAAATTAAGATCAAAGTTTATTGTATTATTAATATTAAAATTATGCATTATTTCTTTTCTATTTATAGAGCTTCTTTCTAAAATACTTTCTTAAATATGACATGATTTTTTGGCTTCTGAGGCATCTTTTAAATCGAAAAATGTAAGTCAATTTATAATTAATGCTCTATTCGGTCAGTTTAAATTAGAGAATTATTAGGAATTAGCAAAATACTTTAAATAAGTATTTCGCTAATTCCTAATAATTAAATACGTATTAAATAGTACTTGACTTTCTCTGAACATTTCTGAAAGAAAATAAAATAAGTTGTTTTTTTTTTTTTTTTTTTTTTTTTTTAAGTATTATTTAAAACTTGGGTACTATTCGGTTTCAAGGACCGTAAAAAATTGCAGCGAAAATGTACGCGTAAAAGCGCCAAATCTAGCAAACGTGCCCATTTTACAGCTCGCCAAATCTAGCGTACGCGCTGATTTCAGATTGCGTAAGTTTATAAAGTTCCATATTTCTTCAGACGCGATTGAAATACTAGTTTAATTTTTAAATCCTTTTTTGATATCCTATGGATTTAACAATTTGGGAATTGACCATGACAAAAAGTCGGCAATAGAATTTTGGGTAAAGTGCAGAATTACCCACTGCTTGACGCGTTTTTAAGAATTGCACATACTCGGTATCCATGTGCACATCGAGCTATTTTCACTTAAAAAGTAAAAGAAAATTGGCAAAAAATTCAATTGTTTTTACCCTTGTAAAAAGCGGCAAACAAATAAGTGAGCGATTCTGCACTTTACCGAGAATATTTTCAAAGAAAAGGCGTCGTTCATTATAGAAAATTACGTTTGAACAACCAACGAGATGAAATTATGCTTTAGCAATAAGTCAGTAGCGAAATAGCGATGCAGGCATCCATTCAGTTATGTTTAGCAATTTTTATATAAGTTATAATAATGATCTGAAATAGTTATTTACTCTTTTGCTTCCATTCAGTCATGTTTAGCATTTTTCATATAAATGATAATAATAAAAAAGTATTATACGAAATTAACCTTTCATCTGAATTAAAACATCAATCTTAGATAATTATTTACTATTATACCTCCTTTCTTGCCGCAAGTATTAGGGTTGCCGCACTTATTTTTGGCAGCATTGGCATCAACAATAGTTTGGCGATTTTTTACGGCCCTCGAAACCGAATAGTACCAAAACTTGTAACTGAGTTATTATAAAATGTAAGGGAATAATTCTTTTAATTATACTTATCAGATTTTTTTTTTTTTACCCTTCATTTCAACAATACATATTCCAAAACTCTTTATTACGTTCTTAGGTGCGTATCTCATAGCATTTGCTTTTCAATACTTTTTAACAGGTTGCTTTCCAATACGAACAATTCTTGCTTAAATAGTTTTATAACGTATTTGTCAACATGATTTCAATTTATGTTTACAATTCAATATTAAGGTTATTATATATTAAGATAACATTTATAATCATTATAAATTTAGATACATTTAATAATTAGATTTCTTCACAGCACTTTCACAGTTGTTTATAAAGTGAATAAATTCTTCATTTCAAATACATTTGTAAATAATTTAATGAAATATTTAAGTATTTTGTCAAAGGCAGATACATGCTTTTTGCAAAGCACATGCATAAATACCCATACATATTTCCTATTTTTCATTTCCGGCATGTGCAAATCTTTAATTTCTGTGCATTCACTATATTTTTTGTAAAGTAATTTACACTAATTTAACATACACCTGAAAGTTTTACATAAAAAATATATATGAAATATAATTTGAATGAAAATTTAAGTATTATTTTTTTAATACCCACTCAAAGGTCAGTTTTTCTTCAAAATTCCTCCACGATGGCATCTCTCTCTTTAGGCAGATAGCCCTTGCATGCGTTACTCTATTTAATAAAGACTTAATCTGACCTATGTGCCTAATTACAAATATTTTAACATACATAATTTTATATTTATAAAACGTGTAAGCCCAAAGTAATTATTTTTCAGATATATAAAATTAAAACGATGGGTTTAAAATGAGCAGCAGTAAAGCCTTTCCTCTAAAAAATTTTAAAAGGTACGTTACAATAATATATGTATGTGAAAAAAATTTGTTTTATTTAAAACATTTTGACGTTTGGAAAAATAAAATAAAAGTAGTGAATACTCTATCAAGGGTATCGAAAGACGTATACAATTTTAAATGTACCGTAAGGTATTTTTCATTCTTTAAGCATAACATTTTTCTTAAAATGTATATTTTTGTAGTGCAATAGCTTAGAATTTTATAAAACAAATTTATAATCAAAATCGCTGTTGTTAGTTATCGAAAAATAACCAAGATGTGATTTTTGTGTAAATGTCACTAAACTATACAAATTGCTATTATCCATCACACTATGAATGTTTCTTTCATGCGAAAGTGTCCCTTTTTCGATTTCTATGGAACTGTCGTGTGTTGAAATACTATCAGAATCTTGTCATGCGAGCTTCTGAATGTAAACAAAGAACACCCCATCTGGTGACCCAAGCTTCAAAGCAGTGCTTCACTTTTAGCGCGGGTTGGCCCCTCCTCCCTTTCCTACCTCCATGATTACAAATGCTACTGGAATTTATCAATTTATGTTCTGTATGGGATAATTCTTGATCAGTTGGGTAATTCTTAGTAAATGCTGTTTTACATATTTATTCTTGATATTTCCATTAAAATCTGGGTCTCAAACTCATTGGCAACTTTAGAGAGCACTCGCAAACTTGTTAGTGACTATCTTTTTGCCAAACTAATGCCCAAAAAGTAAGAATCATTTTCAAAATGGCTCTGCACTAACAATTCTATATAAGAGCAATCAGTGTAAAATCCTAGTATATGGTATGGCCTTGCCAAGATTTTGAAAATTGCTGCCGGTACCAAAATGACCCTTCTACTGCTTATGATAATGTTGCCAAATCTAGTATGTACCGTATACTAGAATTAAACCCTAATCTGTCAGTAAAATTAAAAAAGCAAGAAACATCAATTAATAAAACATTCTCCTTTTCAAAAAATCCTTTTTTGCACTGTTGTTCACCTCGTGGGTAAAAATATATTTCAGGGTGCCCC